AAAGGTCTGCCACATGTGTATATATATATATATATGTATGCAATATTTGTTTATTGCCTCCTCCCCCTGTGCAGCAAGCTTAGCTGTTTCAGCGGGAAAACACGCACCCTCAGCGCCTCCGCCGGCCGGGCTTCGCCCACGTGCCGGTGCTTCACCTGGCACCGAAGGGTTCGGGGTTGTGCCCTGAACAAGGACCTGGATCTCATGGGGTTTTACCCGAAAAATGGGGGAGGTGGGGGAGGTGGGGACTGGGAGTCGTGGGGGGTTGAAGGGTGGTTACCCGCAAAATGGGGAGGTGGGGACTGGGAGTTTGGGGTTTTCGCCACGTTCACCAAACGGAAGTCCAAAGGATTTGCTGAAAAGGCGCCGAGTTTTTTTTTCCTGCACAGGGGGGGGGGGACCATGCTGACTTTCACCTCCGCCACCAAAGGCCCTCCCCTTCAGGGTTCTTACCTTGGTGGGGGGTCAGAGCGGGTCCGAGCTGGTCTGACTCCTGAAGTTTGGCACAAACCGCCAAGCTATGTCCAAATACCTCCTGGACAATCAAGGGTTCAAGCGGGTGGCCCCCTTGGAGGTCCAAAAACAATTCCCAAAGTCACAACACTCGCGGGACCTCTTTCTCTTTCTGCTTGCATGCGGAATCCTTCACTGAACAAATTTAGCAATACTGTGACCAGGAACCCAAGGTGACAGCTGTTCATAGATTCCGTGAGCAAAAGATGCCCTTCTCAACAAAGCGCCCGCCTTCCGCACCCCCGTCTTCAGATCCGCCGCCACGTTGGTTGGGAAGCCCACCCTAAAAAAAGCAACGTCAAGGGCTCCACGCGCAGATTCTCCCCCAGCGGAAAAAAAAGAAGTGCGGACGCGTGTTCTAGAGTTCTCCCTTCTTTGGGGGGGGGGGGGGGGGGCATGCTGCAAAAAGGAAACCAAATAAAACCGCGGATGTTTGGGGCAACCCAAACCGCGGATGTTTGGGGCACCCCATTGCTGCAAAAAGGAAACCAAAGAAAACCGCGGATGTTTGGGGCTACCCAGATTGAGGTCACGCGGCAGGCTGCTGAAGCTGAATCAGTGCCCCGAGGTTCTCGGGTTTTAGGCACATTTTTGCGAAGCTGCGATGTTTCTACGACGGCGACACGTCTCAGAACCAATGTCCCAAAGCTCAAAGACGCCGCCAAAACGCAGAGAGCCTAACGATCCTTATTGGATTTGCAGGGCTTGTGGCAGAAACCATTCTGACAAGCATAGTGAAGTCTTTGCGAGATTCGAAAGGGCACATTCCGGCCCAAGCCGTTTCCAAAGGGCTCGGCCCCCATGACCCAAGGGACCTGTGCCTTTCGTGGCTCAAATGGGATCCTGAAGCAAACATTCAAATGTGAAATCGGCTTGACTCCTTGCAAGTATAAAGTAGCATCGGAATCGCTTGCATCTGCATTGTCAGCATCCCAACAAATGTGACAGTCAGCATTGTCAGCATCACCTGCATCACTGGCACCAAAAACACGGCATAGCGAACATCACCTGCATCACTGCATCACTGCATCAACCGGCATCAAAGGCATTGGTGTCTGAGGTAGATGGGTGTGTTAAAAGTGGGGAACTTTCGGAATGGGTGGCTTCCTTGAAAAAGCGGTCCCCTCAAAAAAACGGCGCAAAGATGTCGCCGCAATCCCGTAGTCTTGGAAAGGGAAACCAGATCGGTGGCATCCCCGGGCCGGAGAAAGGCAAATACGTGGCGCAGATGTGCAAATTGGGTGACAGGGAAGGTAAGCGCAGCTGATCCTCCGGTGGTCCCGAGTTGGCCCAAAAAGTCCAGAAAAGTCGCTGTGTGCCACCAGAATGGTCTTTTCTTTTCCCAAGCGAAAAACCGCAGAGAGTCGCCGTGCGAGGACCGGACGGGCTCCCGGTTTCTGCGAGCGGCTCATCGGCGCCCAGATCCCTCAACATCTGCTTCAACTTCTCGCCGGTCCCCGGGTCGATCAGCTCGTCTCGACAGGAGATAGGGGCGACAGGGCCCCTAGGAAGCCACCCGGATCCGGTTGGAGGGGTTCGGAGTCATTCCATTTCTCATTCCCCGATTTCACCAGCAATTCAAACAAGAATCCTCGGAGATCGAGTCTGAGATCGAGCGCTTTCCCAGGCTCCATGTCCATCTTGATTTGCTAGAATTGAATGAGCCAAGGGAACGCTGCCGACACGCCGGGCACCTGGACCCTGTCTTTCGCTGATTTACAGGGTGCCCAGACAAGCAGAGCCCTACAAAAAGAAAAGGCATCTGAGCATTTCCCGAGACCGGGAGCTGCGAAACCAACGGAACCGCCAGACAGGCAAAGGCTTGTCAAACGCCTTGACAGGCCTTGGGTCCCGGCTCCGTTCGCGGGTCCAATCCAGGGTTTCCACCAGTTGAAAAGTCCAGCCATTGAGCACTAAGGATCTGAACCGCCACTTTCTGGGAGCACAAAAACCATTCACCGATCCCTACTTCGTCATCGGGCATACA